TCCCCTCCTCCTCCTCCTCTCCTCCTCCTCCTCCTCCTCCTCTTTCCTTCTCCTCCTGCTCCTTCTCCTTCGCCTCCTCCTCTCCTCCTCTCCATCTCCTCTTCCTCCCTCCTCCTCTCCTCCTCCTCCTCCTCCTCCCCCTCCTCCTCCTCCTCCTCCTCCCCCTCCTCCTCCTCCTCCCCTCCTCCTCCTCCTCCTCCTCCTCCTCCTCCTTCTCTCCTCCTCTTCCATCTCCTCTCCTCCTCCTCCTCCTCCTCCTCCTCCTCCTCCTCCTTTTGGCGCCGCCCTGGGGGGTCCCCGAGTCCGGAGGGACCCCCCGGGCGAGCGGGCACGCGCGCCCACGGCCGCGCGGGCGCACCCGCCCGCGCGCGCGCCGGGCCCTCACGGCTGCCCGCCGCCGGCGGGCCCGCGCGGGGGCCGGGGTGGGCCGCCGCCGCCGCCGCCTCCTCCTTTCCGCCTCCCGCCGCCCCACCCCCGCCGCCCCCGCGGCGCCTCTTCCCACCGCCCAGCACCCGCCTCCTCCCCAGCCGCCGCCCCCACCTCGGGGCGCCAGTTGGCGGCCGGGGCGCCGCGTGGCGACTGGGGCGCCAGCGCCGCCGCTCCCGGCAGCCGCCGCCACCTCCTCCGCCGCCTCCTCCTCCTCCTCCCCTTCCTCCTCCCCGCCTCAGCCTGGCCGCCCCCGCCGCCCCCGCCGCCCCCGCCGCCCCCGCCGCCGCCGCCGCCCTCGCCTCACTCTCTCCTCCGCCTCCCCGGCCTCTTTAGGCCTCAGCGCAGGCCCGCCGCCTGGCGCAGCTGCCGCGCCAGGCGGCGCTGTACTGCGCAGCTGATCGCGCAGTAAGCGCGCGCGAGCTCAGCCTGCTGTTCGTCCTCTGGGAGCTCGCGCACGTGGCTCAGCAGCCACTGACGCGCCTCCGCGCCGAGCCGGCCTGCAGTCTCCACGGCGAAGGCGGTCAGCCGTTCGCCGGGATAGCGCTCGTGCTTTCCCCGCTCCGCACGGCGCGAAGCCTCTCCGGGCCTCCTGGCGGCGACGCGAACGGCGGCTTCGTCCCCCGCCGCAGGGTGGCGCACGGTGACGTCCACCCACCTCCGGCCATCGACGTCCTCGTATTGGACATCGAGGATCGCCCGCTCGAAGACGGCGGGGCCGGCGCCCTCGGCCGCGCGCCGCGGCCGGAAGCGGTCCCAGGTGGGCACGCGCTGTTCGTACAGCGGGCGGTCGTGTGTCCACCGCGCCGCCAACGCGCCCACCGCCTTGGCCAAGCCGCCGTGGCGCTGCACAATGCCTCCCCCGTGCTGGCAGGTGGCCGCGTGGTAGCCATTTTCGTCGAGGGGCGCCTGGCAGCGGGCCCCAGCGCCGGACTCGTTGCAGCACGTCGCAGCGGCCCGCGCGAGCTCGTCGCTGGAGCATTCTGGTCGCGGCAGCAAAAGGCGGGAGCGAGTCCCCGTGGCCCACTCCACGTCTTCCAGCGCACACGCTGCCTCCGTGGGGTACTGCAGGTACGCCCCGGACCCCGGCCCGCCGGCGGACTGAAGGACAGCCTGATTGCGTAGGCACACTCGCTGCCGGGCGGCAGCCAGGTTTGTCTTGTGCACCGTCGCAACCATCGTCTTCTGCCTCATCGGCCAGCCAAGCGCCGCGGCGAGCGGGGCGGCGGGGGAGGGTTCCGCGCCCTGGCGCGCCAGTTCTGCGCGCGCCTCCGCCAGGTTCGCTGCGTTCCGGGGGAGGGCGTCCAGCGCGTCCGCGAGCGAAGCGGCGCCCAGGTCGCGGCGCACCTCGTCAGCAGCGTGCGTCCAGGCGGCCCAGAAGGCCGCAGCGCGCCTCGTGGTCGCCCACTGGGCCCCCTCGCCGCCGAGCTTGCGCGGTAGGCCCAGCAGCTCGCAGGCCTCGGGTCCCAGAGGGCGGTCCAGCAGCTGCTCCCAGCAAGCCCTCAGCGCCGCGTCGTAGGCGAAGGCCTCGCCGGGCGTCGCCAGCGCAAGCTGGAGGTAGTGTTGGCTGGCGTTGCCCGCGTAGGTCGTCAAGAGCGCCGCCCTCGCCTGCTTGGAGAGGCTCTCCCGGAGCTCCTGGAGGCGAGCGAAGAGCTGCTGCAGGCGCGTCGTTGCCTTGTCTAGCCCGCACCCCTCCCCGCCGAGGGCAAGCGCCGCGTCGTCGGCGTCCCCGGGCGCCCGAAGCTTCGTGCCGAGCACCGGCAGCACGGGCACAAAGTTGCCCGCCAGCTCGCGCGGGACAGCCTGCGCCCCGGCCGGTGACCAGACCTGTGTTTTCCGAGCGTTGAGTTCGAGCCCAAGCGGAGCAAGCACCCTGTTCAGGGCAGCCAGCGTGAGCACCCCCAGGTCCGCCCTCAGCACGAGGTAGGTGTCGTCCAGGTAGGAGAAAAGCCTGGCGCGTGGGTCCTGCTGCTGTAGCTCGCCCAGGAGCTGCTCCAAGGCTTGCCGCTGGCCGACGGCGAAGCCGGCGGGGGACAGCGGGTCCCCCTGGTCGAACCCCCGGCGGCTCCGTACAGTCTCGAACCGGCCGGTGGCCCCCCGCCAGTAGTGCTCGGCCGGCTCCGCGTACCACGCCCGCAACACCTCGGCCACCTCGGGGACCGCCACCGCCATCGCCTGGAAAGCGGGGCCCCGCCTCATTCTTTGAAACGCCGCCTTCACGTCCACCTTGATAAACAAGGCGTCTGGCCGCGTCTCCGCCAGGGCTTGCAGGTGCTTCACCAGCAGGGTCGCTCCGCCCTTCCGCCCAACCCCGTACTGGTGCTCGCCCGCCGCGTCGGTAAGCTCAGCCTTCCGCGCTCTGGCCAGCGCCCGCAGTCCGAGGCGGCGTAGCGTTGCGCTCACCAGGAGAGGTCGGACCTCGCCGCCCCCCTTGTCGAGGGCCACGAGCTCGCCAGACCGGAGAGCCCGGAGAACATCCGGCGGGAGCTCGCCGAAGGCGACCCGCGCGGCCGCCCGGGCGAGCAGGCGTCGAGTCTCTCCGCTGTCGGCGCCGGCGGCAAGGTGCTCCAGCCGCGTTCCAAGCAGGCCTGGCGCTGTAAGCCGGGGAGGGCGTCGCAGCAGCTTGCGCACCTCGTCCTCCACCTGCTCCCGGAGCTCCCGGCTGGGCGGCGCGCGCGGTAGGGGTGGCGGCGGCGGCGGCTGCGGCTGCGCCTCTGCGGGGGCGCGCTCGTCCGGTGGGAAACTCGCGCGCAGCTGGTCTAGCGTCGCGTCCGTGCGCGGCGCAAGCTCGGCCCCGACTGCGGCGGCCAGGGCGCGGCTCTCTTCGCCAGCAGCAGCCAGCGTGTGCACGCGTCTCCCCCTCTGCTTGGCGGTTGTACGTCTTGCAGGCGCCCGGGCCGCCAGGCTGCCCCCCGTAGCAGAAGCCCACAGAGGCTCCCACTGATCTCCCCACCACAAGGCAAGCCGCTCTTCCAGTAGTTCTGCACACGTTGGGCCGCTGCCGCTCGGCCGGGCGAGGAGCAACATGTCAAACAACAAGAACAACTTCCACTCTGCGGAAGCCTCTCCCTGGCGGCACGCTTCTTCCAGCACTTCCAAAGCCTTGTGGCGGGCGTGAGCCACTGCCCCGCGGAACCTGTCGGGCACCTGCACGAAAGTGGACACTCCTGTTCTGAGAGCGGCCTCCCAGGCCAAGTTCTGCCACCACTCGCGCCCTGGCAGCACCTGTTCCTCCCAAGTTGGGTGTTTAACTGGTATCCCGCCGTGGTCAGGGTCGAGCCCTCCCTGGGCCACCTGGCCAGGATGCCCTCCGCCAGCGTCGCGGTCGGCAGCTGCGGTGGCCAGCGCGGTCCGCGCCTCCTGGGCGTGCACGGCCTCCGCGCGACCGATTGGGCGGATCTCGTCCTCTGAGCCCACTTTGCCAGCCATGCACCCTATGCACATCCAGCTGTATCGCTGCCGGCTCCCCCACGAGCATAGGCGCATCTCCCGCGACGCGAACGGGACAGCGCACGCCTTGCATGCTGCTGGGCGTTTGGACACCGGCTGCAGGTCCAGCGCCCACTCTCCAGCGGCGCGTCGCCGCTGCCCTCTTCCTCCTGCTGCTGCTGCTGCTGCTGCCGCTGCTGCCCCCTGCTCTCCCTCTCCGGCGCCGGCAGAAGGCCCAGGCGGGGCAGCAGGCCCTGGCCTGGGTGCCGCCTCGGCGCCCAGCTCGACGTCGTCGTCCTCTTCCTCCTCCATCTGCCCCTCCTCTGTCTCCACCTCTGACTCCTCTACCGGTGGGGGGAGGTGGGAGACGGGCTGGGTAGCCTCCCCCTCCCCCCCAAGCAGTGGCGCGGGGAGGCGGGCTGGTCAGCCTCCCCGCAATCGCCGGTGGGGGGAGGTGGGAGACGGGCTGGGTAGCCTCCCCCTCCCCCCCGAGCAGTGGCGCGGGGAGGCGGGCTGGTTAGCCTCCCCGCAGGCTGCGGCCACGCCGATGGCACGGCGCGCGGCACGGCCGAGGGCAGGAGGGGCCTCCTCCTCCTCCTCCTCCTCCCCCTCCTCGCCCTCCCCTCCTCGGGTCGCCGACGGCCCCGGGGGAAACCGTCCAAGGACCAGATGGTTCGATAATGGACGGACAGGGTTGACAGGAGGGTTTGCTGGACGCGACAGGGTCGTCTGCCCGCGTTTGTGCGGCGGCGGGCGAGGGCCGCAGGCCTGAATTTGTGTGTTTGTGTGTTTGTGTGTTCGTGTGTGTGTGTGTGAGTGTGTGTGTGTGTGTGTGTGTTTGTGTGTGTGTGTGCGCGTGTGTGTGTGTGTGTGTGTGTGTGTGTGTGTGTGTGTGTGTGTGTGTGTGTGTGTGTGTGAGAGTGTGAGTTTTAATTGAGTGTGTGTGTGTGTGTGTGTGTGTGTGTGTTTTCGTTTTGTGTGTTTGTGTGTGTGTGTGTGTGTGTGTGTGTGTGTGTGTGTTTGTGTTCGTGTGTTTGTGTTTTTCGTTTTGTGTGTTTTTGATTGAGTGTGTGTGTGTGTGTGTGTGTTCGTGTGTGTGTGTGTTTTCGTTTTGTGTGTGTGTGTGTGTGTGTGTGTGAGTGTGAGTTTGAATTGTGTGTGTTTTCGTTGTGTGTGTGTGTGTGTGTATGGAGGCGGCGGACGTGGCGAAGTCGGCCCGGGCAGGCCGGCGAGGCCCTCCGTGGGGCAGCGGGCGGCTGGTTCCCCGGAGCGGTGGGCACCTCTGCGACTGGAGGCTGCCGGAGCGAGTCGACCACACATCGGGGGCGGCAAAGGGGGGGTGATGACTTAGGAGGGGGTGGATCTCATGGCGTGGGCTACGGTAGGTTCGCGTCGTGTCGACCAGCGGCGACCCCAGCGCGGGCGTTCAAGGTTGAACGCCGGCGGCGACCCAGAATCGCTCGATGTTGAACGATCGGACGTTGCGGCAGCGGCCGATCGTTCAAGGTTGAACGATCCCCGCGGTGTCAGAAACCAACGCTGGGGTCGACACGACGCGAACCTGCCGTAGGAGTTTTCCTCAGGTTTCGTGGCGCCTCTTCTCATTTCATTACGTCCCAGGCCCCCCCTCGGGCCGCGCACATGCCGCCGGCCATGATTTGCACCCCCCCCTCTTGGACACCCCCCTCTTGGCCGCCCCCGGTACACGTAAGAGTGACCTTTCGCCGGAGTGACCTTTGGTGCGGGCACATTGGGGTCCCCCGATCGCCGATTGCGATGCGATAGTAGCGTCTTGCGCCCCCGAGTTTGGTCCCCCCGCGACCCCCCAAGAGCCCCGCACCAAAGGTCACTCTTGCCCAGGGTCACTCTTGCGTGTAGCCGAACGAGATTTGTGAAGCTGCAGCCTCGGTAACTCTGTAACCATTTGGCTAAATAGCGCCTGGGCTCAAGCGTCACTTCGCGCTGAATGCGCTCAGGCCAGAGTCTGCAGCCGCACAATGATCCGTGGCTTCTTCTTTTTTGTGTTCATTTTCCGGATTACTGCTGATTCTTGTTCGTCATCCGAGGACTGCGAATACAACGGTGCGTGTATTTCGTCGGTGTGCCATTGTGCTCCGCAATGGCAGGGACCCAGCTGCGGCGAGCTCAACCTGCTGCCAGCTCCTCGCAAGGGGGGGCTTCACTTACCCAACCAGTCCACTTGGGGTGGATCTGTGATCAGGGACCCGCATCGCGAGAGCCTCTACCACATGTTTGCGTCACGCATCGCTGGCACCGGCTGTGACATCAGGGCCTGGTCGCCCAACTCAGAGATCGTCCGAGCTACGAGCACGAATCCTCTGGGTCCGTTCAGGGTGGTCGAAACTGTCCTTCACTCCTTCGCACATGGACCGACCATCCACCAGACCAGTGACGGGTACCTGCTTTTTCATATAGGGTGCGGCCGGCTGCACGGCCGTGCACTGCAGAATTGCAGCCGCAGTGGCGAAGCGGAGCTGATGGCAGCCGAAGCCTCGGTGCGGGCCAAGATGAGCTCCGATGTCCAGGAACCTTGCAATAGTGACTGGATAGCTGTTTCACATGCGCCTTCCTTGGAAGGCCCCTGGAATCAAGTCGGGCCGCTTGTTGATGCTAGCAACTGGACTTGGTTTGGCCGCGGGGTGACCAACCCAGCCCCACTGGTGTACGCCAATGGTAGTGTATTGCTGCTTTATCGCGGCCACCGGCCAGAAAAGCTCGGTGCTTCTCTTGCGCCCAGGTGGGATGGGGTGTACCATACGGTGGGAAAGGTTCCGCTCTTTCAAGATGGCGATGAGGACCCTTTTCTTTGGCAGGCAGCTGATGGCATCATTCATGGTGTGACGCATTGGATGGGGCAGTCCAGCGGCGCGGGCGGAGGCGGTAGGCACATATGGAGTGCAGATGGCCTGGCCTGGCGTGTCTCCAATACTCTCGCATTCCACACCCAGGTGACCTGGGACGACGGCGTCGTCGAACAGGTCACTTGCAGAGAGCGTCCGCAAATCCTCACCGATGCATCCTCTGGCCTACCTCTGGTGCTTTACAATGGCGTTCAGCCGACTGGCCCCCATCTTCGGGGTAGCACTTTCACAATGGCTCAAGAGATTTGCCAGGTTGCCTCCTGTTCGAAGGCCCCAGCCACGCTAGATGTTTGGATTTGAGGCGTGCATGCGAGACTTTGCCAGCAACACATTTGTCCGCGAGCGGGCAACTCTGTATGCGTAGCAATACCTCCTGGGACAAAAAACGTGAATCATCTTAACAGTCTCGAGCCATGCATGACGAATGACGCGTCTTGGAGTCTTGGCGTCCAGATGGGTGCGCGGGTAGGGGTACGGTTAGGGGGACTGGGCGCCACAGAAACAATCAACTACTGACTCTTCGCGTATCCCCACCAGCCCATGCAGAAACGATTCCCAAGAGAATTCCAGGGTCGTGGAAGCGTAGATATATACAGTGGAACAGAGAGGATGGCAGCTGTGAAACTGAAGCTCGGGATCAGCCTCAGCAGACCTAGGAGTAAACAATATTCGTCTAGTACGCCTTGCAGAGCTTTGACAGTAGATTACCAAGGTGTTACTCCACGCGTTTTCTTTTGAACTGCAGTATGTTTGTGGCGGCGTGAGTCAGTGAGGCTCCCAATGCGCGTAGTGCAGACAACAGCGACAGTGAAAACGTGATGACAGACGTGCCCACGTGGTCGGGCCACATGATGTTTCAAGCTTTGAGGCCAACTCGTACAAGTCGATGGGTCTAACCTTTTGTACTGTCACAAGGAAGGTCTAACACCAACCAATTTATCACGATTCGCTTTCGCCCAGGGAGCCCGCGAACATCACATTCAAATCACAAAGTAGTGGGCCGCCGCCCGCTGACGAAGGCTTGCACGGTCTGAGTTTTCCCCTCCTGCTCCTCCTCCTCTCCTCACTCTCCTCCTCCTCCTCCTCCTCCTCCCTCCTCCGTCCTCCTCCTCCGCCCTCTTCCTCCTCCTCTTCTTCCTCCTCCTCCTCCGTCTTGGAGTCTTCTTGGACACTTCTTGAGCTGTCTTCGGCTCTCTTGAACCATCTGAGCGGTCTTGGAGACATCTTCGGACTATCTTGGAAGCCCTCTTGGGCTTATCTTGGGCTCTCTTGAGTCCATCTTTGGCCGTCTTGGAGGCATCTTGTAGGGCATCTTTTGCCATCTTGGCCGGAGCCGATTGGGCCAATGAACACCGAAGTTTGAGGAGCTTTCTGGGTGGCTGCCGACATCGGTTGAAGCCTCAGGGGGAGGTCTGAAATAACCAAAAACCTGCGAAATCTAGCACGCTGGGCGCCCCTGTGGCAAGACCACCTGGGCTGGCGGATATAAGACGCCTTCGGCCCATCCCGCCACCGTGCCTGGGTTGTGGGTCACAGGATGTTCTTTGGGATGTCTTGGGAGGCCTTTCGGGGGCCTCTCGGAGGCCGTTTCGAAGCTTCTTGGGTGTCGTTTTGGAGCCTCTGGGGCGTCTTGGGGCCCTCGTGGGGGCCTGTTGGGGCCTCTTGGGGGCCTCTTGGGGCCTCCTCGGGGTCTTGTTGGGCGAAAAGCTCGAATTGTCGGTTCGGGCTCCCCCTCTTGGGTCCCACTTGGGGCCGTTTTGGGGCTCTCTTGGGTCGTCTTTGGGCGCCTCTTGGGTCGTGCCGGGGCCCCCTTGGGCCGTCTTGGGGCTCTCGTGGGGGCCTGTTAGGTCGTCTTGCGGCGATATTGGGGGCATCCTGGGCGGTCTTGAACGCCGTGAGGCCGAAAAGTTGCAAATGCTAGACATGGATGTTCTCCGAATGGAATTCGACTTTTGTTGTCTCTCGGGGTCCTCTTTAGAGGCCTCTTGGGCCTCACTTCGGGTGTCTTGGGCGCCCTTTCAGCCATCTTCAGGCCAGCTTGGGCGTCTTGGACCGATCGTTCGGCGATTCGGGGCCCTCTTGGACCGTCGTGGGGGCCTCCTTGGACCCTCCTGGCCCGTCTCAAGGTTTTCCGGGGGGCGAAAAAGTCATGTGTCAAGATGTGGGTGAGCCCATCGGGGAATCCCAGGAAATTTGTGTGTTCGGGGTCCGATCTCTTTAAACATATTCTTCTTCATTGAAGATTGAGGCCTCAGTGTTTAGGCCAAGGGCCGGAGCACACACCAACTCGTGCCTCAAGGGCACGGTGGCGGATGTCATGTGCGCGTCTGCCGCGCAGGGGACGCGTGCACTCTCAGAAATGTTTTTGGACATGCTCCTTGGCGGGAGCCCTCTGGCAATGCCGCCTGGGAGACAAAATCTGTATTGAATGTTCGTGTCGGACGTGCGCCTCGCATATCAGTACATAGCACCAGTATGCAGGGCTGGACCTAAGCGCTGTTTTGCTGGGCTTCGGCGGTGTTCTGTTATTCGTTGGGCAAGGAGGTGCAGGAAGACAGGCGGAGCAAAACGAAGCACAAAACGGAAGCAGCATGAAGAGCAACGTTTAGGTCCAGCCCTGCCAGTATGCCCTTCTGCGTCCTAAAACATCACAATGTGGTCTCTCCTCTCGCGTGCGCGCGCGATGGGCGCCGGGCTCGTGGCGGCACCCAGGCCCGCACCTCGGCCCAGAACCTGCTCACGCAGCGCCTGGGCGAGCAGGCCTGCTCCTCCTGCGGTGTTCGACCGTGGACCCCTCCGTGCACTCCGGGGGCCCCCAAGCGGTGCGGTGACCACGCCGCGTGGCGAGTTAGTTGGTGGGAAGGCGGGGTCGCCGCCCGGCTTCGGGGCTCGCGTCGTTCTCCGAGGACGTCTCGGGCGACTGGGGCCTCCGAGGTTCCAAGACTATGCGGTGACGGACCGCGCGGTGATGTCTCTTGGGGTTTCGAGGTCTCCGCGCGGTCCCTCACTGCACGGTTATGGGACGCCCGAGGTCAACCCAACCATCCAGCCTCTGCGCGGGAGACCGGCGGCTTCCGCCAGAAGACTGCCGACGACCGCCGAAGGGCCGCCGAAAGACCGCTGCGGGGCCGCCGGTTACTGCCAGAGCGCCGCCGATGCAATGCCGATAGCGGCCGGGTGGCAAGGGGTCCATGGTTGAACGCGTCACGCTCTCGCCCGGCCGCCCCGCGTCGCCCGTGGGTGGGAAGGGAGAGGTACACCAACCTGGGGCGCCGGCTGGCTCGCGCCGTTGTCACGAGCTTGCTCTGAGGTGGTGTCTTCCTCGGTGTCTCACTGGTCGGCCAGCAGGTGCATCCCACACCCGAGTCGCTCCCCCCACTCTCGGTCCTCCTGTTCCTGATCGCTCTGCTTCTCCTCCTGATGTTTCTGCAGGAAGAAACACTGAAGTCGTACACGCGCAGTTGCAGCCTCCCTTTCCCCCTACCCTCTCTCTCTCTCTCCGCCCTCCATCCTCCCCTGCCCCTTCCCCTTCCATCCCCCCCAGGAGGGTGCGCTCTCGCGAGTCTCGTCTGTCGTCTCGCGTATCACGGGGAGGAGGGGAGGGGAGGGCTGAGAGGGGGATGGGGCTCAGAGTCTGTGATTCGGCCACGCGCAGAGGGGGTAGTGCGAGGGGGGACGGCTGCTTAGAAGCACCCCTGCTTCTTAGAAGGACAGGGCCTTGTCTATAGATGCAAGGCCAGCGCCTTCTAAGAAGACAGCCTCCTTCTAAGAAGCCTTCTCCCTTTCTCCTACCCCCTCCGTGCGCCGCTAAGTGATGCGAACCTATTCGTGCAGAAGCACGCGCCTATCTGCGCACCTTCCGCCACTGGCGGGCGCTGCGACGATTTTTGGCATGTGCCAGTAGTGCACTTGCAATTAGTTCCACGCAGTGGGAAACAACAGTGCTGTTTTAGGCACCCAGGGGCCGAACATGCGACAATAACAAGAGGAGGAGGAGGAGGAGGAGGAGGAGGAGGAGGAGGAGTAGGAGGAGGAGGAGGAGGAGGAGGAGGAGGAGGAGGAGGAGGAGAACGAGGAGGAGGAGGAGGAGGAGGAGGAGGAGGAGGAGGAGGAGGAGGAGGAGGAGGAGGAGGAGGAGGAGGGGAGGCAGATATCCGAGTTTTTTTTCCTGGCGAGCACTGGTCTCGATCTACGCCGCCGTGTCGCGCCGCTGGCTCTGGCAAAGCGACGCTTCCGCGCGCCGCGCCGAGCGCGTCCCAGACCCCCCAGCACTGGTGCTCCGAGCTTCCCGAGGATCCGTGCGGAAAGGCCGCACCGCCTGGACCTGCGGGTGTCCCCAGTCTCCTCCCAGTGTTCTTGGCGCGCCGATGACGGCAGCACCAATCCACTCTCCCCCTGGGACTTCGCCCCCTGCTCCAGTCCGTGGCGTGCCTTGTCCTGTGCAAGATCTTCGGCACCGCCTGTGCTCTGAGCCCTCCGGCCGCCTGAGGCCCCGCCCGCCCGCGCCCTGCCTCCCCAATTAGGGCTATCCGCGTCCCGTTTAGCTCTTGACCGGAAGGGGCCCGTATCCGACCCGCAGACCAAAAAAAGTCTCAGTATCATGTAACGGACCCCCATCCCCATCCCCATTCTCATCCAGAACCCCACCGTCTGAGCACCCAAGTTGAGGATAAGCCCGTGTGAAACCAGAAGGAAACGGCCTCCATCCCCATCTGGCGGGGTAAATTGGCCAGTGGTGCCCAGGCCACGCCAGTAGGGATACAATAGAGGGAAACAATTAGTGGACATTCCCCCTCTCTAAAACTCGAAGTTGGCACGTGCGGGGAAGACTGCGGTCGAAGTGCGAATTATTCAGCCCGCTGCCAACATTGATCAGTGGGGGTGCATCGGCAGATTGATGTGGCATGTGTGTTCGCTAATCTAAGACGCCTACGGCGAATCGCCGCCGCCCCCTGCCTTTTTGGAAGCGCCTACGTGGCCGAACGTTGAGGCCAGACCTGCCAAGCTATCGGATCATGTGTTCCCCGCCCGAATCGGTTTGGAAAGCCTTCGGGAACACACGTGGGCATCTTGAAGGTCATCTTGGCCTTCTGGAGGCCATTTTGACTCTTTCGGGCCTTCTCGGAGGACGTCTTGGAGGGCTCTTGGGCCGTCTTGGAGGCCATCTTGAGCGTCTTGGAGGCCTCTTGTTCCGTCTTGGGGGCCTCTTGGGGCCGCCGTGGGCCTCTTGGGCGATCTTTGGGGGCACTTGGGCCGCCTCGGGCCGTCGGAAGGCCGAAAAAACGCAAATGCCACAATCCTTCAAAAACTCGTGGGAAGTCAATGATTTTGGCCTTTTCGGCCCTTCCTGGAGGCCCTCTTGGAAGCCTCCTGGGCCGTCTTGGGCCATCTTAGGGCCATCTTCGGCCGTTTTGGTGGGCTCCTGGCCCAGCCGACGCCGTCGGAAGCCGTTCAGGGGGTCCCT